TGTATAAATTATGGACGATTTGATAGTTCAGAAGATGAATCTGATACCAGAAAGCGTGATCAAGTTAGTATTGTTTTTGTAACAACTTCATCCTTTTCGAATATTTAATTTATGTAGTCTATTTTAAGGTAGTATAATGTCATGTACTTCTACGAGCCTTGGTGGTGCCTTATAAAACATTTGTTGTTGCAGGATCTTGATCGAAAGCTTCGTCTTCCTAAGGGCGTTATCCGTGGGTGTGCGGAGTGTAGTGGTTGCCAAAAGGTTAATTCTTCATTAAGCTCCATTTAGTTTGTGCACAATTCATATACGTTCTACAAAATCCTCTATTAAAGTCGACTTGTTGTTTTACAATCATTAAGAACAGTCATGACATGGCATCCTGCTAAAAGGTGATGCTTTGGAAGTGTCTTTTATATCTGGCAAGGTGATGGAAGGTAGCTTGTTATGACTGTTAAGTGGCTTGTGATTTTTAGCATAATTGAACAGTTGAACTTGATGCCCATAATTTATAAATTGGTGCAATCCTTAATTTTTTCCATTACTATATATGCAATTGATTTTAGATTTTTAGCACAGGTAATTGCAAGATGGTGTCCAGAAGCAGCTTGCAAGCCCAACCTTGAAGATGCTCCTGTATTCTACCCAAACGAAGAGGTTTCATTTCCATTTTTTTTTTTGAGCTCCTTCTAAGTTTTAGAACTTTTCTTCATACTTTTCCTCTTCTCAGTTGCTGAATTTGTATTTCTTACCTTGGGGTTTCAGAATACTGAAATAATTTGTTCCTTTGTTAGGAGTTTGAAGATACTTTAAGATATATAAATAGTATTCGCTCAAGAGCCGAACAGTATGGAATCTGTCGCATTGTTCCTCCTCCTTCTTGGAAACCTCCTTGTCCTCTTCAGGAAAAAATTGTATGGGAAAGTTCTATGTTTTCTACCCGAATCCAAAGAGTTGATAAGCTTCAGAACCGGGATTCAATGAGAAAGATGTCAAAAGTTCATAACCAAACGAGAAGGAAAAGGAGACGATGCACAAAAACAGCTGTGGAATGTGGGACTAAAAGTGGCAGTATCTCAGGTTGCAATGATGCGGGCATCCATGAGCCAGAGAGATTTGGTTTTGAACCTGGTCCAAGCTTTACTCTGGATAAATTTCAGAAATACGCTGATGATTTTAAGGCCCAGTACTTTAGGAGAAATGAAAATATTACAGGTGCAGAAGGTAACACTAGCATGCTTCCAGAGCACTGGGAGCCATCAATTGAGGATATTGAGGGTGAATACTGGCGGATAGTAGAGAAAGCCACAGAAGAAATAAGAGGTACAATTTGTGAGTTGAATAAGAAAATGTACTTCTTATTTATATGTTAGTTTACTCATTTGTTTCAGCATTTTTGTAAAAGAGCCCCCTTTTGCTTGTTCTTCTGTTGTATATTTTAATTTCTGTTCAAACAAATTGCCAAGAGATTTGGAGTTCTC